AAGCCAATCGAGCCTTTTGTATCCGTGCAGAAATCTCATCGGCAACTAACCCACCGGAGTTGATCCTACTTCCCAGGTAAGTGAAGTGGTCAACACACTCAACCACTTCACTCTCTATTGTTAACCGCGGTACCGCTGAAGACCAGTCCTGGAGCAAAAATTTGCATTTGGGTGGTGAAAATCGCATCCCAAACATTCTCAAATTCCCACTCAAAGTGTTCAGAAGACTCTGCATCTTGTCAGCGTCTTCACCTAACAGGACTATGTCATCTGCATATTCTAGATCTAAGGAAAATTCACCTGTGATTCGGTCAACGTCTTTGTAATTAGGTGACGAGAGGGAAACCTCCATAAGAATATCTATGATAAAATTAAATAAGAATGGGGATAGTGGGCATCCTTGACGGACACCACTTGATGAGTATAGCTCCCTGGACAACTCACCATAGGCTCTAACATGCCCACAAGTGTTCGAGTAGAGAGCTTTCAATAAGGTGATGTACTTACTAGGCACGCCTTTCAGTGACAGACACTGCCATAAGACTTCTCGATCAACGGAGTCAAATGCCGCCTTCAGGTCGAGAAATACAGCTATTGTCGGGCGTCTGTAAGCATGCCTATGTTCCAGGACCTGGCGCAGTGTGAATATTTGGTCGATACATCCACGGCCAGGTCTAAAGCCTGCCTGGTTTTCTCGGGCTTGCTGTTCCCGAGCTCCACTCAGGCGTCGGAGAATTATAGAACTTAGGATCTTAGACACTATGTTTGTCAGGCTGATTCCTCTGTGGTTATCACAAGAGGACTTCTCGCCTTTCTTGAAGACTGGGATGATCAGTGACTTAGACCAGTCGGAGGGGATCGTATTTGATTCCCATATACTGGCTAACACTTCCGTTAGCCTGACTAAGAGAACTCTACCACCATTCTTGTATACCTCAGCAGGTAGTCCGTCTGGTCCTGCTGCCCTTCCCCGTTTCAGGCTACCTACCGCTTTCTCAACTTCTTCTAGTGTTGGGGGGCCTGTCTCTATGTCCCATTCAGGGTCCGACTGGATAGCGGGCAGCGCAATGGTGGCTGGAGGCCAGTTAAACTGTTCCTCAAAGTGTTCTGCCCATCGTCCCAGTCGCCTTCCCTGCGAGTGAATCGCCGATCCGTCCTTCTCCGCTATAACCTCACTAACTGTTGTTGACCATTTCCCCCCAGTCTCCTTAATAAGTCTAAATAACTGTCTACTGTTACCGATCGCCGCTGCCTTTTCCATCTCTTTAGCCTTTGCTGCCCACCACTGTTCACGATCGTTGCGCAGACTTTTCGTCAGTTATTTTTAAGTTGCGCTCGCTCTTCATTGTACTCAGAGCCTGCAGGGATGCATTCACGTGCATCCATTAGTTTGGAAGAAGCTGCTGATATCCACTGGCTCTTTTTAGCCATTATCTTGGAGTCGGCTACAGTCTCCAGTGCTGCTTTTACAGTAGACTGAAGATGGCACCAAGCTTCTTCTGGATGAGTGACAGTCTTTTGTTCCGATAACTGCCTAGCCAACTTCTCACTGAACACGGCTTTGGTGTTTTCGTTGTCCAGCAGAACTCGTAGTGGTGCTGGCTAAAAATAGGCGGTTATCTGAGCATAGTTGTAATAGGCGATCACCGTTATCTGTTCGTTCAGCCGGGACTCCGAAAGTGTCACCTAAGTGCCTTTCTGCCTCACTCAGTCTACCCACCTGTGCGTTGAGGTCACCTGCAACAACCACTACGTCCGAACGTTTGGATTTCGAGAGGAGGTTAGACAGTTTATGGTAGAACTCGTCCTTCACTTCATCCCAGCTGCAGTCAGTGGGTGCGTAAGCAGAGATTACAAAGAGACAACGGCGAGTCTCACTATTCCTTTTAGTTCTCACTGTGCCGTTCAGCCTCATAGCGCAGAGGCGACTATCAACTGGGATCCAGTCTAGTAGTGAGTGTTCTGCCCTGGTGCTTAATGCTATACCTACACCTGCAAGACCACGAGAGCTAGTTATCGAATCTCCAGAAACTCGAAGGGTGAATTTTGCGGATTCACCAGATTGGTCAGGAGAGGTCAGGTGAATAACCACACTTGGGTCCTGTATGTGTGTCTCACAAACACACCACACATCCATGCCCCGAGTTGCTAGAGTCTTTGCTAACGAAGCCTGTTGACCAATTTGACGGAGGGTGCGGACATTGAAGGCTCCAATATGTGATTTGGAGCGTGGTTCAAGGAGACCAGTGATGCTGTTCTGTGGACTCAGATCGTTGTCGAAGGCTGCAGAGGTAGGAGAAATTGAAGATGATACAGCATCATTAATTAAGAGACGTGAAGGAAGATTAGAAGGTAATGATGGAGGGGGTGGGTAGCAGTCAGAAGAAACTTGGGTGCTGACAGAGTTGTGAGGGCGGTTGACACTTCCCGGCTGCCCACACCGTGGAAGGCTATTTCTTCTTAAGGTACCTGAAAGAGATCTGTGTGACCGCAGAGCCCATCGGACATCTGCTTGAGGCCTGTCACACCCAGCCTTTTGAGTATGATTACTTTGAACTTTTGTATTTTTGGGGCCGGATGGTCGAAAGGAAACGACAAGTGAACCAACACCGCCGGCCCGGCAGACCGTGGGGCGTGGTGGAGTATGTTATTTTGAGGGCCGACCTTTTCTAACCCGCCCCCTTTCCACTTAGAAGGCAGCATCAGCATGGCACTGCTGGTCAGGTCATTCAAGGGAACCACCTTACTGCTGACACACCTCATCCAGCTAGCAGCAGTACGGCTTCCAATTATTCGCGCGCTTTCCCTGTTCTTCGATGCTAAGTACTCAAAATGCTGAAGTGGTTTGTACTTTCTTGGTTTTTGTTGTCACTCCATCACGCCCACTTTAACCATACCGTCTCGAACTTACTGAGGAGATAAAAAGTAGTAAAGGTTATGTAGTTGCACAGTGAGGATCTATCTTCGTCTTTCTTCCCTCAATCACGCATTTTATGTTGGGTAGGAATTAAATGTATAAGACCAGAGACTGGTTATTTCGAAGTTCAACTCCATCCCATAAGACAGCTTTTGGTTTTATGACAAATATATTTTGTTGGCCAAGGGTTGTGCATACCTTATCTTAACTTTGACCATGTTTTTGTGGTATGTCAAAGTGTAAGATTCTATGCAAAGAAGGCAATTCACTCAATAAGATCGTAACATTCACCAAGTGAAATGGCTTGCATGCACCAAGTTACCGGCTATCTCCATGTTTGGTGTCAGCTGAAATAGGATCAAAAACGGGTAGAGATGGCAGCAGTCCATGAAGTCTTCGACTGTTGATCTGAGTCTTGTAATGTGTAGGTTGCCATGCTGGAATCCTCAAAGCAGCAGGAACTAATGGTTAGAGACTTGGTGATTTGGTTGCAAATAGGCAACAGTAGTTTAGGTGTATGAACTCCTTGCCGTCTTCAAAGTATGGAGCATTTTTAATAACCATCTATTTATTCTCTCCCCATTAGTATTTGTCTACTTTGAATCACTTGTTTTCTACCCACTTCTAAGATTCTAGGTTCTATAATCATTAGACACTGAGTGGAGCTGAGGAACAGCAAACCCAAGAAAACCAGGCAGGCTTGAGACCTGGCTGGGGATGTATCGACCCAATATTCACACTCCGCCAGATTCTGGAACACAGGCACGCTTACCGATGCCTAACAATAGCTGTATTTCTAGACCTGAAGGTGGAATTCTACTCTGTCGATCGAGAAGTCTTACGGGAATGTCTCTCATTGAAAGGGGTACCAAGTAAGTACATCACCTTATTGAAAGCTCTTTACTCGAATACCTGTGGACGTGTTAGAGCTTACGATGAGATGTATGAGGTGTGTACTTCAAGTGATGTTCGTCAAGGATGCTCACTTTCTCCATTCTTATTCAATTTTATCATAGGTGTTCTTACAGAGGTCTCCCTCTTGTCATCTGACTACACGGGATTGACCTAATCATAGGAGAATTTGGGGTAGACCTAGAATACGCAGATTACATACTCCTGCTAGGTGGAAACGCCGACAAGATGCATAGCCTCGTGGAGACTTACAGTGGCAATTTGAGGATGTATCTCTTGCCACCCAGATGACATGAATCTCTGCACAGATAAGAAAAATTCGATTGGTTTTCGCCAACTTATACTGTGTGGTGCCGCTCCAATATCCGATTGTCGATTAAGGGTCGAGTGTACTACACTAGAGCTCGCTGCGTTCTACTATGTGGGGCTGTGTATAATGGCCACTGAAGGTAGCCGAGGTTAGGCCTCGGGTGTTTGACCAGTGTTGCCTTCGTAGCATAGGCCGTGTTTCGTGGTGTTTACCACGTGAGTAACGCAGAAGTCAGGTGTAGAGTTTTAGGGGGGATAGGTAAGTCAGTTGATGCAGTTGTGAACCTTCATTGACTGAGATGTCTTGGAAATATGTTACGTAGGCCTAGCCACGGTCTTCCTCGTCGTACAATGTTGGCCGAAGTAGGTTCAGACTGGAAAAAGATTCGAGGCATCCAGACTAAGACGTAGCACCAATACATGAAGTACTTGACTGTTAGTCTCAGCCGTGTAGGATGATAGAGACTAGCCAGTTGAGGTCCGTAGGACAAGAGAAACCAATGGTTGGACACTAAGTGATGTGACCCAGAATCAATGTCAGTGGCGCAGATATATCCACACTTAATCTTCAACCTAACTGCTTTATCGAATTTAGCATTTTCTCATTCCTACTTCCATTCTACCACTTTCTACTTCTTTCGAATGGTTTTCCTTTCTTTCTTCATCTTCTATTTTATTGCCTTGTTACTTGATGTGCTGATGTGAGGTGTGGGAACTTGGACTGTTACGCAGTAATGCCTTGTCCCATGTTGATACTGATGATGAAAGTTTCGGAAACATCGAAAAATTCTCAGCTACAAAATATATTAGGCAAACACTGAAGACAACTACTCAAATTCAGCAAAACATTTTCTTCACGTACCTTGAATCATATTTTTACCCACAATCTCTGGAACTTCAGTTTGCCTCAGAACTTTTAAGCGATCCATGGGTGCAGTTACTGTACGAGATATTGTTCCCGAAATACCTCCACAAACAAATCCAGCTAGCTCTGGTGGGATTAATGGTTCGACAGGAGATCTCATCGACACATCAAGAGTTCTCATTTCACGGCTGACTCAGCAGAATGTAACTTTTTTCATTATGCACCAACGAACTCTATCGGTATTCATAAAATAATGAAGCATCAAAAGTTAACATATAATCAGTGGTGCAAGATTCATAATTGAATATGAGTAAAAGCGACAAATGAGTTTTTGACCTACATATAGTTATAAACTCCAAAAGTAAAAGCCATACACAACTGATAATATACAAGTTACTCCAATACCTAATTCAGTTGGGAATACGACTTTAATACTAACATAGTACTGAAATCCTCCGTTGAACCACATTCAGCAGTTTTTTTCTACTTTACTTACTTGAAAACTCAAATAAGCCCTAGAGGGACAAAGATTGATAAAACATCTGAATGGATACAAACGGTTCGACTGACCTTCGCCAACTGAAGCCATTTGAGAGGCATCGACTAGATCTCCGACTGGCTTTCAAGTGTCAACTGCATTGCGCAGCAGTCTCTTGCAACCTAATTCGTGGTTCTTAAATATGATCACTGAGAGTAGAGGAAGTGAGAAGACTTCAGGTTTCTACCCACCGTTGCTTTCGTATCATAGGCCACGTTGTGAAAACACCACGTCAGCAACGTGGAGGTCAAGAGTAGAGTTTTAAGTAGGAGGAAAGTCAGTTGGTGAGGTCGTAAACCTTCAACGACTCAGGTAGCTGAAATGAGTTTTAAATCGAAAAAGGTTAGAGGCAACCAGACTAAAGCATAGCATCAGTTCATGAACATTGACTGTTAGGTTGAACCGTGTACGGAAATGTGGAATTTCCGGTTAGTAGCCGTGCGACAACAGAAAATGGAGGTTGGAGACTCCAAGTGACATTGCTTAGTGCCGTTCCTATTGGCACAGAAGCACCAACACATCACCTTAATTCTCTTAATGACCTTGTCCAACTTTACAATAGTTTCATTCCTTCATGTTTGTTCGATACTTTCTCCCTTTTCTCTATTATTCATCGTAATGCATTCTTACCTGATAGACTTATATAAGCTGTGATATCTTGGACCGTTATACAGTAAGGCAAGCTCATATTCTTGACTGACTGACTAATAAAATCAACGTATTACCTAGCTCACAAGTGCACCACCTCAAGATGCCACAATTCACAGTTGTATCACAAAAAAAAGGGGGTAGAAAAGGAGTTATACCAAAGCAGAAAACGTTTTCCGAAAGAAGCAACAACGTGAAGAAAGAGGCTAGTGCGAATATTCAAGCTTTAGAAGATGCCAAAGAGTGAATACATCTGCGCCGTTGTCACCGATTTCCTACCATATCACCAACAGTCCTCAAGCACTGTTTCCTCTCGTCTTCAAGACCCCAACCGAGTAGTCTACATCTCCTCAGATGCCTCAGACCAACAGCAAGACACTTCATCGATTAGTGCCAGGTCTTGTTCTGGTCACCCTAAACCTCCCTCCTTCCAACCTACCTAGTCCACCTTTCCCTAGCCTGCCACGTCTAGGTAGGAGGTGGCTCGGCATGCACAGTACATGTCCAAGCCATCTCAGTCGATTAAGGTTCACAACATCATCAACCGACTTCCCTGTCTTGACTAGTAACCTTCCCCTGACCTCAGCATTGCTCACACCATGATTCCACAAAACGCGCTCGAGCAACCTCACAAAGACACCTATGATCAAACTCCTGTTACCGCTTCATATCTTCCACTTTCAACGACCATGCCTCATAGCTGTACAACAGGATAGAACGAACTTCAACACACTATACTCCAAGTAAGTGAAGTGGTCGACGTACTCCACCACTTCACTCCATATCATTCAACTGCGAGTCGTCGCAGCACACCAGTCCTGGAGTATTATCTCACATTTGACAGGTGCCAGTGAAACGCATACCAACCATACTCAGATTTCTTCTCATCATATTCACAAGACCCTGTATTGTGTTGGCGTTTTCAACCAGTAGGACAATGTCGCGTCCGTGCTCCAAGTCAACCAGATGACCTGCAGGGAGTACATCGATCCCTGTGAAGTCAGATGTACCGAGAATTGTGTCCATGGTACAGCTATAATGAAAGCAAACTGGAACAGTAACATTGGATGTCTCTGACGGACACCACTAGCTGTCGTCAATTTTGAAGACAACTCTCCACAAAGCATTACACGTCTGAGTGAGTTCGAATAGACAGCGTTGATTAGCGTTATGTATTTGTTAGGTACTCGTTTCACAGTCAGACTCTACCACAACACCTCACGGTTGACCGAGTCAAATGTCACGTTCAGGTCAAGAAATATGCCGAGTGTCAGTCACTGGCCGGTAGGTATGTCTGTGTTCTGGAACCTGCTGGATGCCGAAAATATGATCGACGCATCCTTGCCCAGCTGTCTGAAAACTGCTTGGTTTTCTAGTTTGCTGTTCTCGAGCTACAGTTAGGCGTCGGATAAATATGGAGCGTAGGATCGTGGACACAATATTAGTCAAACTAATTCGCGTATGGTTGTGACAGGAAGATTTCTCTCCATTTTAGTGGACTGGGATGATCAGTGAAGTACACCAGTCTAACAGTATCACCCAATTCTTATATACTACGCAGTACTTCCGTCACGTTAATCAGCAGTTTCCTACTTCCATCCTTGAAAGCCTCAGGTGGGAAACTGTCAGGTTCTGCTGCTTTGCATCCTTTCAGGTTCAAAACAGCTTTATCAATTTTAGGAAGTTGTTTGACAGCTTGAAGCACTTATACAAATGCATTACACGTGGGGTGAGGATATAGTCACGTATTGAATGGTGCGAGTCAGCTGTGCAGGTAAACAAAGTTGGCATTTTCACCATTCCTCTTAGACGCTAACGTCGACTATTTCAAAACAGCTCTAAATGAGACATATGATGATGGATACCATGGAAGAAAAAGAACTTTACGACCTTGAGTTGATGGGCGACAGTATCTGATTGTATGATAACGTCCGGATAAAATCGCATTTTACTAGTCAAATATTAGTACCCAAGGATATGAAATACGATGAAACAGGTTTTTCGAATGATGAACTACATTTCTTTGAATTACTGCAACTTGTACATGCATGGCGTTGACAGAAAGGGCAGTGTTCAACTGGATACAAGTTGACTGCTGTTCGATTAAATAGGCCAGTAAGAACAACCGACGACGGTGGTAATCGCCGTTCTTTTTGTAGTCTCTTCTTAGGTTACCGCTAACCACAGTTCGGATGAAGTGAAACCAGCTGTTTTTCCGCACCTGAAAATGGCATTTGCTCCATTCATTTGAAAGTGTCAATGAGAGAGAGTCCAGTAATTAGAATACCTTTCTATTCTCAGACACCTGTGATTACGGCAGAGGCTATAGAAAGTTATTAGGTGAGCTGCATACGTTGTATGTTCATCAACGATATCGCTATTTATACTAAACCCTGTTGAAAGCATGTTTATGAAGGTCTTCCTCACCTCGTCTGACTTTACAGGGGTTGACCTCATCACGGGAGACTTTTTAGTCGGCCTAGAGTATGCAAATGACATAGCCCTTTAAGTGAAGACGCTGAAGATATGCGTCTTCTGGATCAGAGTGGTAAATGGAGAATGTGGGGTTTCAGACCACTCCACACACAAACTGCTGCTTCAGGATCGGTCTGTGTCAATATCCCATCTTAAATAGAGATTAAAGTGACTCAGTGCATCGATCACCCGACCTACTTGGGAATTCGAATCAACTATGATGGGTAGTAGCCAATAAAATCCCTGGACAAATACAAAAGACTTGACTGACTTCGACAACTTGCGCCACCCACGTCGGCGGTAGGATATCTGATTGTCCAACGTATGAATATTGCGTAATGGTTCGCTTCATCCTATTATAAAGCTGTGAAACGCAACGATTAAAGGTGGAGGATACAGAAAAGCTCCAAGTGTTATACTATGATTGTCTTGGAAGCACTGAAAGACAGAAAGACAAATCAACGTAGAACCTGATACAGAAGTGCATCAATTTATGATGCCACAAGGTAGAGCAACATGGAGAGCGGATAGAAAAAGATATACTAAAGTGGACAAGAGAGAATAAAAAGAGTGCCAGTGAAGATAAAATAGTATGACTTAGCTGAGGTTCCCAAAATATGTACCATACGTGCTTGTTTTGATGCTTATCGTTAGATGCAGTATTGGGCCGGAAAAAGGTTAAAAGTGATCATACTGAGACGTGCTATCAGTCCATGAAGTTCTAAATGATGATCACAGCCGTGTATGGAACTTTACACTACTCAGTAGAGTTCCCCTTTGGTAGGTGGAGACCCTAGATGATACAGAGCAGAAAGTATCTCAGTGGCACACAGGCATGCACTCTTTATCTTCATCCTAACAGTAATATAACATTTCGTTGCTTACTTTGTCATGTTTTGTTTTCGCCGTATGGCTTTTTGCAGTTTTCAACTATGCCATTTCTGTCCTTCATCCTGTTTCCTTACATATTGATGTACTGACTTGAAATATGGTAACTGTTAGTCAGTGATGCCAGGTCGTATACTGATATAGACCGAGTACCCAGGATCGCTGGATTTCGATATCTGAGAGTGAAAAAACCTACACCGGCCCAAAGTAACTGTGGCTATGACACTGATTTATTATAATCAGCTTACTTTTTTATGTCTCGGTTGATCTATTCTTGCAATCCTAAACACCGACTTGACTTCATAGCCTTCAGTTGTGCTAAAACTAAGGCTTAAGTGGACGAGGCTTTGGCGTTTCAAGCGATTACTACTGGGTTCGAATCTTAACGGAAACAAAATCACTCATCCAAAACAGGACGAAATGTGCATCCTGGATTGCAGTGCTAACGGCTCATTATAGCTAAGAACCGAATCAGTTATACACGGTGTAGGAAACACGTGTGGGTAATAAAATACAGAAACAAGGATAATTAAACATACTTAACAGAGATAAATCTGAGTAGAACCTTGCACAGAAGTGGAACGGTTCGAGTTGTCACACTTCACAGCTTG